CTACTACAGTGTTCCCCATTTAATGTCGGTATCAAATTTATGCCTGGGTTGGTGTGTTTGCTTAACCTGGTTTCAGATGAAGGCCCGAGAACTGCTGCTAAACCTGCCTTTGAGCCTTTGCGGACCTGACCTACTCTCATGTTGATTAGAGAGCATCATACACGAATTCAATGCATCCAAACATTAACCAAAATAATTAAGTAAACCAGGGATGTGGTCAGTTCTATGATGCAGCCGCATTTCTCATGCAACTCGTCAATTCGAGGCAGATGGTGCCACGCGTGGCGTGGCCTCACCGGAGAAGGGACTGCCTTCTTCGCTGAAGGTGTTGGAAGTTGCATCATGTCTTCCGCTGCTTGAGGAATTTAGATTGATGGAGAGGTGATACAGAATACCGTGGGATGAAAAGAAAGAAGACTTTTTATAAATGAATCGATCAAATCAATTTCAGGAAATAAATAAATATATAAATTTTGATCAAAGGAGCTGAAGTCAATTCCAAGAATTAATAGCAAATTAATTAGGACAGTAAGTGTACACTCTCGATTGATCTTAAGAAAAAAAATCATGTATGTCAGAGTTCTATCGACTGAATTGCCCGAATCCCTGTCAATTTTCACTGGCTTCTTCTTGTAATATAAAACCAAAATAAAATCAAGAAAATGTTATTACAAAAGATTCTGCCAAACTAATGAGAGAAGATCTTTATAATATAATACGAAATATATTATTTCTCGATGATCCCATAGACCTTTACAAAAGACTTTTGTTTGTACTAGTTCTAGCTAGTAAAAATTAGTCAACTAAGAATGTCAAATAATTAAAAGAAACATAAAAATAAGAATGATAAGTAGATAACTTTAGGCTCTTTAAAAATAATTTTTCATGATATCTTTATAATAATATATTATACTTCTTAAGTATTTATATATTTTGAAAGATTTGAGGCTCCTAGGCTTTTGATCAAGTTTATTTAGCTTTTTAGTTCTTCAAATTTACTTGGTCAATTCTTTTATAAAAGCTTTCTTCTTCTTCTTCTCCTCAATCGAGTTTATGTTTATATACAATTAATTTTCATTTGGAAAGTAGTCATGCAAATACTCGATATTAAAGGTTATTGAGATCTCCCAATCGCCTCGTAAATCAATCATATATGTATTATTACCGATTTTCTTTAAGACCATGCAAGAACCATACTTCTTAAGCTTTTCTTGATTGAAATTATGAAGTAGAGAATTTTTTTAGGGTGATGAGTGTTCTTGATCGTAAACAAGTTAAGTTTGTTGCATAGAAAGGAGGTACAATAATTTAATGGGATACATCATATAATAATAGAAGAAGATAAGGAAATACACCGGTAATCACATCCAAGGCACTCGATCGATAACCGAGTATACTGATGAGTTATATGTCTTTTAACCAGATATAATTTATCAGAGTTAGAAGACTAGCAAACAACAAGATATATCAACAAATTAAAATTTATAATCAAAGATAAAATATCTTTAACTTCGATATAAATAATAGAAGCTTATAATATAGTATTAAAAGATAAAATATTATTGACTTAACCTCGAATTATTACCTAGCAATTCTCTACTCCGATAACATGACATACTCTCAAAAAAGAAGAGAAAATCAATCAATATAACCTATAAATCAATGCACAAGTACCATAAGAGTAACAAGATAACCTAAGCATATCCCAACTACCATAAACAATTTATATGCTTGACCAAAAATATTTCAAATGTAGGGAGCTTAGTTATTATTCCAATGAGTGTCATGCTCATAAGATTGTCAACCTTACATATGATAAATATGACTTAAAAAAAAAAAGATACCTAAGATGATGCAATTGATGATATTGATAATACTGGAACAAAGAAGAAGAAAGAGAACATATAATATATATTACCAAGACAAGAAGATCCATTTCAACACAAGAAAAATTTTCATTCTTAATGTATTTTTATTAATAAAGTCTATACATTGATCATGGACAATAGAAGCTATGATAATATTGTATCCAAATTACTAATGAGATAATTAAAATTATAGACGAAAACTCATCCATATAAGCTAAAATAGATTAAAGAAGACCAACAGTCATTGTAACTAAGATGTAGTTGATACGTAGTTGATATGAATACGTGACGTGTGTTATTTGAAAGGTCATGATGTGATGTGAATGCAACCCATTTTAGAAAAAAGAATGCCTATGTATTATAGTAAAATAAGAAGAAAATTTTCATTCTACTAACTAACAAAAATAGAAATGAATCTAACACTTCTGAAGGAAAAGTTTTTCTTTTCCATTTCTAATTATGAGCAGGAATTCATTACCAGTTCTAAAATAAAAGGAGCATGTTATATTTTTATTATGAAATACAATCAACTTTAGAAGTTATGATATAATGGGAAGAAAATTATCATCCTAATTTTATGATCGATGAAAATGTCATCTTAAATCAATAATAAAAAAAATTAAAGTTCAAAATATTTAAGTAACATTTTGTTATATTACAAAACTGAATCGTTTTATGGATATTCTATTCATGTAAATATCGATCGGGTCAATCAGTTCATTCTAATTTTCCAACACATTTATTAGAATAATTGAATCAAACTTTTTGATAGTTTAATTTTTTATTTTCTTGATTTGACCATTGGGTTCGAGTAGATTCTATTAACTATGCATTAATACTCTACTTAATATTTTATTATTAAGACATGAAATTATAATTACAATTATATAGTTTCTAAAACTAAATATACATCAAATCAGTCAAATGAATTGTTTATATATTCTCATGGAATCAATCAAAGGATTATTTTCCTTTCATAATTGAATCAACCAAAAGATTATTTCCTTTCAAATACATTCTAATCAACCAATTTATTGGCAAATTTCTTTCTTTCTCTTCATTTCTCTTCTTCTATCTTCCATTGCAGACTTGTTTTCACTTCATTGATTTTTTTAGAGAGAGAACACTGATCGATCATATTTATACTTACAGAAGAAAATGAAAGAAAAATAGTGATCTACATCTCTACTAAAACTCTAAAACAACTTGCATTCTATCTTATCGAGTTCCTTCTGATGCATGCATCTCACATCCCCATTAGCAAGACCGCAGCACCGCCATGGAGCACCGGTGGCGGTGGCGGCCTGGTTTGGCTTCCCCCACCTGGTTTGGCTTCTGCGGCAGCCTTCCCCAGCTCGGCGTCGGTCCGGCACACCGGGCACGTGGAGTTACTCCGTAGCCACAGGTCGACGCAGGCTGCATGGAACATGTGATCGCAGTTGGGCAGCACTCTTGCCATCTCCCCCTCCTCCAGGATGCTAAGGCAGACGGCGCACTCCACGGCATCAGCGGCTTTCCCGTAGGCGAAATAAGGGAGGGCGGCGATGGAGGAGGGATCGAGCCCGGCCGGCTTCCGCCGATCGTGGGCGGCAGCTCCGGGCCGCAGGCGCCGGACGAAAAGGTGGCGGGCGCAGACGATGACGAGGTAGAGGAGGATGAAAACGCTGAAGGAGATGCCGACGAGCTCCAGTATGGTGTCCAAATCGCAGCAGGCGGTTCTGTTAGCCATGGGAGTGCTGCCATGGTTGGACATACTGCTTATGGACGGATGAGGCGTTGACGACTTCCCCCACCAACCCTTATCTCTTAACCATTAATACCAAGAAATTTACATCCACATACATACACCCATACATACAACTCTCTCTCTCTCTCTCTCTATATATATATATATATATATATATATATATATAAAGAGAGAGAGAGTGAGAGAGAGAGAGAGAGAGGTGAGATCTGATCAGAAACCTCACCCTCTCATCGGGCGCAGGCACACTACGCACTTGCCGCGCCCCCACTGCCACCTCCTCATCGCCGCGGTCACGAGTTTTACGTCATGAAGCACGCGGGCGGTGGTCGGGCAACCTCGGCAGTCGTGCCCGAGGAGGTACTGGGAGTACTACTTGGCACGTTATGTCTTAGGAACCCCAAGACACGGTAAGTCAAAATCCGTACTAAGACACTGCTCGACACGTCACGCCTCGAGACCCCAAAGACACGTCAAGTCAGAATCTATACTAAGGCACTGCTCGGCACGTCCACCATGCTAACCTGCGTACGACTGACCCACGTATAGTAATATAAAGACCTCTGGCCGGTATCTGGCCAAGGAAGAAAAAAATGTGGAAAAATCAATTGATCACTCCACTGACTTACTCGTCGGAGGAGTCTCGTCGGGTGATCCCGACGTGAGTCATTTTTATAAGACAATACGGCTACCTCACAAAGACGAGTTGTCAACCACCTAGGAATCGTCATCCAATGTACGAAGGAGAGCAGCCAATCGACCCGAATCCCAACCAAAGCCAACCTGCACCCCTTCCCGAGGGCGTGGCCACCTCACGAAGACGAGCTGCTAATCACCCCGGAGAAGGAGAGACGTAGCTCGGCATACACGGCGCCCGGATCGGCACACCAAAGAACGCTGATCAGCACCCCGACGCGAGGGCCCACCTCGGCATCCACCTCAGTCAACAAAAGACTTTCGACATTAACCCGTGGACCAGGCCGTGCTGACTCACCAGTCACGACACATTTGTTCACTACCAGGAGGGTAAATCAGAAGTTATTCCCCTCTTCTCCTCAATGATCAAAAAGATGAAACATACGGTGGTGTGGCGATCTTGATTTCTTGCGGCCCTGTTGACCAGACGACGGCTTGCAGAGAGTCAAATCGTGGGGTGTACTGAAGGTTGACCGACACAAATATGGTGAGCTGGAAATAAAGATTCTTTTACGAGACAAAACCAATTCCAACTTCTTTAAGCAAATGCATACACTCGCTTTCTTTCTGCGACATCAAATTCGATCTATGAGGGAAATTGATGTTGATGTGGGTAAAATGAGACAGGAGGGTATGGATTAGCTCTGCTACGAGTTCCTGTGATCCCAATATCTTCACCCGTGTCATCCTCCTGTTTGGGAGTTCTGCAATTGTTCGACTTGCCACCAACTCATCTCAATCTGCTACAGCTGCCTCTGTTCCTTGCCGTGGAAGCAATCTACTAGTCTTCTTCAAGACCGAGAAGACGTGTTGGGCTTTCTTTGCTTTGACGCTGCTTCCTCCGTAATATATGTATCTGAAGCTGGTGGTTCGATTCAGAACACCGATAGGGGAAGAGCATGTGTTGCGATGGTGAGTGCAGGCCTCTGGGGTGGCTGTTGGGCCTTCCCTTCGCCTTCCTCTCCCTCCTCGTCTCCGTCGTCGGCGTCGCCGTTTGGATCGTCGGGTAATCCTGATACCTCTCTCATCATCCTCTAGTTTCTTTGCTTCACACAGGTCGATGAAGTGATGATGGTGATGGTGATGACATGGTTCGCAGGTTGCTGCTGTCTTGCATCTGCCCTTGCTGTCTGTGCGTGACGGTGCTGGTGGAGGTGGCCATCGAGCTCGTCAAGGCCCCTCTCCATGTCATGGAGTGGTTCACCTCGCAGATCCCCTGTTAGCGACATCCTGCTTTCATCTTTCTTTCTTTCTTTCTTTCCCCTGTTTTCCTGTTCTCGAGTTGCCATTGGAAGACTGTGGTGTGTGAATGAGTGACGCTGCTGTAGATTTCTTGCTATTCATCTCTCTTCTCTCGTTTAGCTTGTAATAAATCTGTGACACAAACAAAAGCTTCCCTCAGTATCTGAGCTGATCAATCACCCGAGGAGAACACCAAGCGAATAATGGCTCGACACATCCAAAAGCAAGAGATCAGGCACAACTGGCAGCAACGAAGTGTGATCCACATCATAAAGTAGCCAAAGAATCTACTTTCTTTGATGGAGTTGATGCTTTTCTCCAAAAAGAAATAAGTTGATGTTTCATCTTTCATAGGTAGAGCCAACTGATCGAACTCGAGTCCTTAGGAATTGATCACAGACAACTCCTCCTCGACTTCCTTCTGTGTTCTTCTTCCTTGTTGGATGACACCTCTCTCTCCGGAATGGGTCACATGTGGGTGGGGCTCCTCATCATGATGCCATGGTTGAGGAAGATGCCAGTTGCAGGAAAAGCAGCACCTTCCCACATGCAGCTGGCCAAGAGCAAGCTGCTGTTCTTGGTGTCCCACCGGACTTATCCTCCTCACATCTCAATGATTCAGCAAAGCAATCATTCAGCCGCTTTATACTGCGCGCCGCCTGGCATCTCACTTACATCTACCATATCGGACATGGATTTGTTTGATATATTTCTCCATCATTGAATCCAGAGACTGGCACTAAGAAATAGAAAGCATGGTTCATTGATCAGGTGTTTGTGGTCTTCCTCCCGCGAGCAGAGTGTTGGAGATCCTGCAAAGAAGGATGTAGAGTATAGCTCAATTTGATTCTGCTTTGACCCTTACTGCAAACCACGTTAGTGCGACAATGGACCTCACTTCGTAGCTTCTCCTGCAGCAGTTGAGAGAGAGAGAGAGAGAGAGAGAGAGAGAGAGAGAGAGAGAGAGAAGACACGAAGCTTATTATAAGAGGAAGTAAGCCGTAGCACAATTTTGCTCACCAACTCCAGCGCAAAGAATGAGGCTCTCAATCTTCTTCTTCTTCCTTCTCCTTTTCCCTTGCTTCCACCTCTCCGGTTCTCAGAGCTACAACGCACTATTTAGCTTCGGCGACTCGCTCTCCGACACCGGCAACGTCGTCGTCGCCGGACTGCCTTACGGCATGAGCTTCTTCGGCCGGCCCACCGGCCGTTGCTCCAACGGACGCCTAGTCATAGATTTCATCGGTACTACTGCTACTACTTGCACTCAATCTAACATACAGGCAATGCGTAGTAACTAAGAACTCAATTATGATCGACGCAGCCGAGGCACTTGGGCTGCCGCTGCTTCCACCGTCCACCGCGAAGGGCAAAAGCTTCCTTAAAGGCGCCAACTTTGCTTACACTGCCGCCACCACACTCGGCTTCCGCTTCTTCCACCGGCTAGGACTCAGCAGCGGTCTATGGGTCAACGCCTCCCTGAGCACCCAAATAAGGTCGTTCGAGCAGATGATGCCTTCTCTCTGCAACTCTTCTCAAGGTGTCAACCGATTCATCTCTCTCTCTCTCTCCCTACCATCTTCATCCTTCTTCTTCTTCTTCTTCTTCTTCTGCTTCTTCTTCTTCTTCTTCTTATCGGAACATGTGAGACGATGGATGCATGCAGAATGCAAGGAGTACTTGAGCAAATCCCTCTTCGTGGTCGGAGAGTTTGGTGGGAACGACTATAACACTCCCATCTTTGCCGGCAGGAGCTTGAAACAAGTGTATACTTTCGTGCCCAAAGTCATCCACGCAATCCATTCCGGTGTTGAGGTACTCGATCGCACATCACAAACCTGTATCTGCTGTTACCGCTCATCGCCGTTGTTCATGGCAACAATGTGCAGAGGTTGATCGGCCATGGGGCGACTGAGATCGTGGTGCCGGGAATGCTACCGATCGGGTGCTTCCCCATGTTCTTAACCTTGTACAGTACATCGAATACAAACGATTACACCGACATCGGATGCTTGAACAAGTTCAATGACTTGACATCCTACCACAACTCTTTGCTGCGCCGGCGTCTGCGCGGGCTGCAGCGGAGGTACTCATGGACGAGGATCAGATACGCCGACTTCTTCGACCCCACGATTCAGTTCATTACCAGTCCGACACAGTACGGTGAGTTCTTCGTCTCCATTGGCGACCGCCATCACAGCAAGGTAAAGATCTGCGAAATGTTGCAGGATTCAGTGATGGCGGAGCTCTAAAGGCGTGCTGCGGGGCAGGTGGGAGAGGAGACTACAATGTGAATCTGGAGGCCAAGTGTGCCGAGCCAGGCTCGGATGTGTGCTCAGATCCATCGATGTACGTGAGCTGGGATGGGATTCACTTGACTGAAGCGGCTTATCGCCTCATAGCCAATGGTTGGCTCAAAGGTCCTTATGCAAATCCACCAATCCTGCAACAAAACTAGAGCTACTGTGGTGCATGTTATTGGCCACAGTTCCACCACCAAATCCAAGTCAATAGCTTAGCTTTGGATCCATGTGTTCTTTCGATGTCTGTGTATCATCCATTCAATGGTTACTAATAAGTGTGTTCTTTTGCATTCTTATAGCTTAAATCCAAATGGATAATAGTTAAGACTTGACATTCTCGTCAAAATCGAGTCATAAATTGATGAGATTGAACCGATGATTCAATATATTTCAGTCCAAAATAATGTTGTTAGATCATCCGACTCGATAAACCAACTAATAAACATGATGTACTGTATTATAGCATAAGACCTCACTAATAACCATCGAGAGCTGCATTAGAGAACAGCACTGAGACTTGGTTTGATCTGTCTCGGTCGCTATTTATGTATGGCACACAAGCAAGGCAGTAGCAGGAAGCTGATGCATTTTCCTGAGTCATGGCACCTGTAACAGAGGTGATTGCTGAAGCAACAGGGAATGAACCTTATATGCTTTGCCAGAATGCAAATAGGCATACACAGAAACAATGCAGAAACACGATTTTGCTAAAGAACTATCAACACATTTCATAATGAAACTATGTATAATGAGAATTTACACAAGAATGCATCTAAAAATATTCACTCATATGGACAAAATTTAGCAGTGCAGGTAGTTGCTAATCAAAATGGATGTTTTTTTTTTTTTTTTTGGTGAATAGATATGGCCACCAAGTTTCCTCTAGCGATCATTGACTACGGTAGACGACAATCTTCTGGCACGACGTGGAAAGAAATGACTGTTTAATCTATAGGAATTCCCATTCAGACTCCAAGTCACGATTAGAACCCTTCTCAGAATCTGATGATGAGCGGACTCCTCGTGCACGTTGCTTTTGGGCATTGAGATCACGGCAGGAGGTACCAGCCTTCTTGTAATGGCTCAACATTCGTAATTTTGAAATAAATAAGGCAACGACTTTTTTCTGTGAAAGACAAAACATCAGTTACTGAGTGCAACAACAAAAACTTCTCTAAATACTAAAGTTCAGATTTCCAATATTAGAATACGGCAAGAAGGCTCGGTGCAATTTATTTGACCGACTGTCCACAAAGTCCCACCGTGTCCATAAAGGATCTGTTCTGATGTGAAGGTGGTAAACGGTGTTTAGGTCACATTCAAGGTAATAAATTTAACCATATGTTACATTCATCCTTGTGTCTCATTCAGTCACATATTTGTCAGCACTTGGTATAGAAACATAGATATTTGAAGAAAAGAGATCAACCAGGGCAACAGGCAGCCAAGTAATCAGTAGCTGTAAGTTGGACATGCATGACATTAGCTACAGGGATTACACAGACCTACAAACATCTTTGGAAGAATATCAACTGGGAAATGCAAGACCTTACCTACAATGGTTTTACAGCCCTGAGTAATCCAATACCACAATCAAAATGTGAGGCCAACATATGCTGGTCATGACATAAAACCAAGAAACAAAAACTGGGTTTCGCTGTTAGACTTTTCAAACAAGAAAATGGATTCGGTGATTAACTAGTTCCATGATGTTTCATGCAACAGTTTAAACATATAGCCAAGAGAAGGTAAAAATAGATTGTTGTCTATGCAAGCATCTAATTACCTTGCAGGACATCTTCCTCGGTTCATGATACGAGGCCAAAACAAGGTCATAGTCTTCATCATCATCCTCCCAGCTATCATGAAGATCTACATCCTGGAAGTCTTCAGATTTCAGATCAAGAACATGCATGTTGTTCCACATGTCTTCCCTGTGGGAGCTCTCTGAAACCCCTGAGAAAAAGCACAATAAAGTAATGTGTATGCCAAATGGTTGGCAAAAGCAACAATTTGAGTTTTGTTGCCATGCAACTTCACCTCCAGAAAAGGGAACAACATAACAAAGGACATTTAATTGTTCACACAGCAACAAATTTGGGTACTCTAGCATTTAATAACATTCAGAGAGATTGATGGCTTTCTCAAACCTTTATTTTGGTTCACAGTCCTTCCAGTATCAATTTTCATGAGACAAGACTACAGCCGAGAGTTGACAAGGCAACCACAGCCAGGACCTCACCAGAGACCACCATGATGGAGAGACACTCCACCTGGCCCTAATAACTGTTCTGACCAGACAACAGTCATTTGACCTTGTTTCTTTTTTCCTCTTTTCTTCTATCTTCTTCTCTCATTTTTCCCCCTTTTCACCCACAATAAGTCCACCTCCAGACCAAGATGTGCCAAGCATCAGCATCGCTCAATATGTCAATATGTTTCATTCTAGTAGCCAGATGGCACCCCATGCACCACCCAAACTAATAACCTTAAGCTAAACCATTAGAACTTCTGCTAGAAAATCAATAAAAGCAACAAAAACAAACTTGGTTTCAGGATAAGAATTCATGGTACACAGTTTTGCAAGTAGCATCCTTATAAGAAGGGCTAGGAAAACAAGAAAAGAAGAACTTTTAGTACATACCTATTTCTATGTCTTGTTCAGAAACAAGTGACTTAATATCTTCGATCTGTTGTTCACATTCATTTTCCTCCATGTGAGTTGTAAAATCCTGTAACATAGAAGTGCTTTCTTTCACATCTGTCAGAAGAGGACAAAGGATATGATAAGCAAGGGAACAAAAAAGAGGAGAAAAAAGAAGAAAAAACCATAGAATCAAACAGCAAAGATACCACATGCTCCAGTTGGTGAAATATAGCTAGCAAGTTCCTCGATTGAATTAATTTGATCTGATACAGATTTAAGGGCCTCATCATCTGATAGAGAATCATTTTGGCAGCCAGCAAGAGGTTCAGCAACAGGTAAAGCATTCTCAGAACTTTCATTTAGTGTATCCGCAAAAGCATTTGATTCAGCTTCATAAGTTTCTTGTGTGTCGTTATTAGAGACACAAGCATCAGGATCAAGCCAATCTCCCACAGCCTGATCGAGTTTCTCAGCGATAACTTTACCGGCCTGTCCCACCAAAAAAAATAATTGGCACACAGAAGAAGTCAGTTCGCTTGGAAAATTCTGCACATGCCCCTGAGGGTCGCCTAGAATTTCACAAAAAGCCTTGTATAGTTATAATATCATAAACACCCTTATAAAACAATAAATTTTCATGAATTCTCTTCTGGCAATATGTTCAAAATCCAAATAGTAATAATCAAAATCAAAATTCTGATCCTACACCTTACAGAAATAGCCCTTCACTATTTTGATAGAGTAGTTTGACAAAAAAAAATACAATAGATTATGCAAAGCAAGGGCAACTTACTACAAACTGAGGCTGCTCTTTTACTAGAGCAACAAAGATCATGGTCCATCCAAAAGAAATAATGTATAAAAAAGAAGAAAAAAGTGAAAAGTGACATCAGGGATAGGTTCATAATTTTTTACTCAACCCATATTAAACCTTAAAATCAAACCTCATATCGACCTTAGTTTAGCTAGTTTTTCTTTTACAAAAAGCTCAATGGCGGTCAACTATCCATAACCCAACCCCAAATAGTTTGGACACCAGACTTGTTGTTATTGTTGTAATGAACAAATAAATGACCCAAAAATCTGTACAAGTTTAAATAGCTTTTTCTCATTTGTTACCGAAAGACTATGCTCAAAACAAATGACTGAAACTAAGACAGATGACACAAACCTGGGTTTTTCTGTTGCTCCAGATATTTATCAAACTTAATAGATTTATCTCAGAAGGTACTGAAAAAATGTACTCAAAAGTCAAAGAAACCACAAAAGTTGAAATAAATGGCACAAACCTGAACTAAACTATTACTCGTGCACATTTTTTCAATCTCCTGATACACATTGCCCCAAGATAGTCGATATGCGACATCCATGCTGAAAGTGAATCTCCAACAAGATAGAGGATCAACAAAATATTTTTTCTGCCTTCTTTTCGTACGAATTCTTGCGATGAGTTTTTATTTCGATTTGGAAACTTTGCTCGTAGCTGTTCAAACAGAATAACAATTAATTCTGGATGTACTTCAGAATAGAAAAGGAATTATTTAAGGTCACAATAAGACCTTCATGCATTAAAACAAAAAAGATTAAGAATACTACTTTTGCACATATTTTCAAAAGCAAAAACAAAACGTTGGCTTAAACATCTGCGCTACATGATGGTCACTACATGGTCGACAACGTGAAAGAACAAACTGCATATGAACAACGAAACTTACATTGTGCAAAAAATTAGCTTAAGGGACAAAAAAATAACCTAAAGTTCTTGAAGGCTACAATTACCATATGATCACAGATTCCTTGCGCGTCATCAAAAACTTACCTTACACTAATTATAACTAGTTAAAGACCGTGACCTCAAGTGCTCACGACAACACGTACAATTTACAAGGAATTACGTATAAAAACCACGATAACACAACAGCACGTAGAGAAAGACAACCATTGATTGCCAAAAACCCAGTTCTTAAGATCAATCTACATAAGATCAATCGATTTTGGAATAACCTTAGTAGAATTAGTAGGGAAGAGAACTTGAGACCTCTAATCCAAGAAAATAGGGCCTTTAGAGGAAGAACATAGAGGAATCAATGCTTCGATCTAAAAGAGAACCAAGAAACGACCGGGAATCCAGCCGTCACGGCCTACCAGAGAGGGTTCAAGAAACAAACCCGGCAGCAATCGACGGATTCCAAGAGAGGATCTTTTTAGAACTCTTGCGGCGGCGGAGGAGATCAATGATTGCGTACTATGTATAACCGAGAGAGAGAGAGAGAGAGAGATAGAGCCAAAACCACCAGGAATTGTGGTGGGAGGGGGCTTCCTCCGCGGGGTATTTATAATCGCTTTTTGGATGGAGACCACAAGCAGATTCCCAAGCAAACTCAAATTTCTATCTTATTTTATTTGTATGTTTATTTACTTATTTTGGAAAAGATTGATATGGGTTTAGGGTTTAAAGAGAAAAGAAACGATTACTCTCAGAACCTACCCAACTTCGTACCCGGTAGACAGTGCGCGTGCGTGCGTGCGCCGATCTTAAGCAGCTTTGATTTCGGACCACAGAAAACGTTGGGTCGGATCTGAACTGGAACGGAGTCTTGGCCCAATCGGCCCCATATCGGTTCGCTTCCGTTCGCCTTGTGAACTCTTCGTCCATCTATACTTTACTATCAATAAACTGAGTTGATCAATAAAGCCTGTTATGGATGCGAATTAATTATTGGAAATTTTTGTCCATTCCGTATATGTAGATTAATTTAATCGTTTGAAACCATTCCTAGTGAGCTGGTCAATTAATTTATATGTTTCCATGTATATATTCAAAAGAAAATTTTGTATCAGGTTGAGAATACTGAGTACAATATTCTGCAGCGTCTATAGCGGATGATCTCCTCGTTAATGATAGATTTGGAGTTGTTAGAGCCTCTCTGACAACACATTCCAACCTTCACATATTCTACACATCATTTCCTTTAGAATTACAAACTTTGCTTCCCATTATATGTACTTGGCCTCAACTTATCCACCATCATCATCATCTCTCTCTCTCTCTCTCTCTCTCTCTCTCTCTGCATGGGGAACTTCTTGCCTTTGCCTTGCTTGTTTCATGAAGCCAAGATGTCACAGAAGCCCTCGAACAAATCCAAGCGAGGGCTCAATTTGCTCCTCGATGTCCCTCTAAACTGGTTGCGGAAAACGAAGCAACAAACTTGCAGCGGAAGCAGGGACTCAACGTATCTTCCAGCATCTAAGCACACGAAGGAGAGAGAGAAGCAGGGTGTCACCAGAGTGAAGGTGGTTCTCACCAAGGAGGAGGCAGCTCAGCTGCTAGCCATCTGCGCCCAAGGCGAAGAGAGGACGGTTGCCGAGGCCGTAAGAAGGCTTAAAAGGTCACAGACTTCCCGGCATGGATGGAGCTGTGGTAGATGGAGACCAGCCCTTGAAGTCATCCCTGAGGAGTAAACAAAGGTAAGAACATATCCTCTCTTGCTCATGTAGGAAACCTTGGTATTCACACAACAATGTCGAGGAAATGGGATGAGAGGACTTCTTCTTCTTCTTCTTCTTCTCGCTATGATTTCTTTCTGTTGATGTAGTTTTACTCACTGAACCATTTGGTAGATTTTATGTACTCTCTTTCTTCTTCCAAACCTAAATGCTAAGCGTTCTTCAGAGTTCGAGTACATGCTGAGTTGAGCAACTACTCCCACTGTAACAAGGTAAGGTATCCCCTCACCTTTCCATGTGTGGTTGAAGCCCAAAAATGACTTCTGCTAAAAGGAGGCATGGAGAGGAGCTCAACAAATCTTGCGAGTATGCTTTGCTTCTTCTGGCTCTCCAAGATAGGGCCTCATGGGGCTAATGCAGCTGGCAGATATCAGCAACATCTGCTTTTAAGGGATAAAAGAAGTTATCAATCCACAAAACTTTTGCATGAAATCAGTAATTTTTTTGTAGCAAGTTATTGTTCAGTACTACTTTTCTGCTTTGGTAGTGCTTAAAGAAACAGGTTTGTATGTATCACAACCACTGACACATATATAAACTCACTTCAATACAACCACACCTCATCACACCCATGAGCTCTCACCTCTTCCTGTTCTTCCACTGCCATAAAACGCTTTCATTCTATTATGAAGATGAGGTTTTATTGTTTTTGATAGGACATGATGTGTTTTAGGAGTCCTATATTGACCAAGTTGGGGTATATTCATTAATTCATACGACCTTACATTCCTCTCAGGCTATTTAATCTATAAACTGGGGGTATTAAGAACAGCCGAACAGGAAAAGCCATGACAAGCATAGGCCTTGATGAGGCTTGGATTTAATTTAAATGTGCTAGTATTTAGAGTATTTATGAATTAGGTTTTTGACCAAAAAAAAAAACTAGGTTTGATCTACTCATTAGGGTTGCAAGTGAGTCAAAACCTATGAGCTAAGTCTCCATATCATATGTATAGGAAAAGACATTCAAGCTTGTTCTATTTAATTCAGATCCTTATCATGCATCCATGACCTGGTTCAGATTCCTTATAAAGAGGTCAGATGGTGAGAACAAGAAGAATCCGTGAAGAGCAGTAACAATCAATTCTTGATTTAAAGGAAAAACTATAGATTACAAAAAGAATAATTATCAACATCTTAGGTAAATCCAAAACAATTCATGTCGTCACCCACGTTGAGCAAGTGGAACCACCGCAATTGGTGGCTTTGGAAATAAACAGTAGAAGACTGCACCTATGCAAGTCCAAATAACACTGAGACCAACTATGCCGACAGGGCAGGAGGAGATGTGGAACAACTCGTTCCACGCAGAAGGATACTAATGAATTAACCATAGAATTAAGTATTAAAAATCCTACCTGCTCTCACTATCTTCATTGTTTATTAGCCTACAATATCATTCCATGCTACAGCTTTTGACTCATGTCTTCTTCTGAAGTGTTAATGATTCCTCGTTTTAAATTTTAGCCAGAGGTTTTGTCTTCTCTTCCTTCAACATCAAAGTCAAAAACGAGTTTTGTTTTCTCTAACGTGTTACTATCCCAAGTCTGCTTGATAGTTATACTAACATGATGAAATAGAATTTACTTAAAACAAAAGCAGGAGGCCATCAAATACCTTATGAACAAGTTTGATTCTTATATAGTTGTGTATAAAACAGCTAATAAAAGAGTAGACAACATTGATTCCTTCAGCAGATATGTACAGGGTTCTCAATTAATGGTCAGGTGGAGCCAGGATGAGATGGCCTAGATATTTAGTGCTCCATACAATAACAATATGCACATTATTCTCTATTATTAATATAACTAGATATTCAGTTAAATATGATAAAAACCGGATACAATGATGCATGAGGGTGCTTCAGCAACATGATGAAGCAGTGTTAATAATCTAGTCGAAAGATCAAAGCAGTCAAAAGTCCGAATAGTTGACAAATATCAAGCTCGATCCACTATATACTGATACTCTTCAAAAAAAAAAAAGAATCCAAGGATAAGTTCTAATCTCTCTTGCATGATGTGCTAACTTGTCCAGATATGATATGGAAGTACTAGAACAATTTTAGTGATAAAATTGTTTCTTGTTTTCAGGAAAACATGTCTTGCAATAAAAACCAAACAGTGATATGTAGAATTAATAAAGGTTAGAAATGGCAATGGGATTGGAGTCCTAAATGACATGCTGCATCAAGTACTAGTAACAATGAAAAAGAGCATAATTCTAGTTCAAGTTGACAGCAGCAAAGAGATAACGGCACCAACCTCAACCGTCGTCGTTATTTCTCAGCTTTATCCTTAAGTAATGTAGTTGAATTTTTTTCTCTATCTTTTGATATCAGCATTTTATGTAGTTGTTTCTGCAACAACTGTCTCAAATGGGAACTTGAAGCTAAATTCTTATCCAGCTTCTCTTTTTCAGCTAAAAGTTCAGACTTTCTCGCCTCTGCGACAGCAATCTTAGCAGTATTGAGATATCCATCATTTCCTTGAAGGCGTTTCAGAGATGATTTGAGCTGCAATAGCATACATTATGTAGAAAAAATCTACGTTACTGATAGGATGTATGACATGTGAAACAAATACAAAACTTTAGACGTAATGCTCCTTCGTTTGTTGTTCTAGTAAATAAATTAAAAATATATTTAGTTCTAGTTACCTACCATGATACCAAGAAAGAGAAAACATCCCAATTGTTTGGTTTGACTGCATGGCTTTGTCCTGCCGTTAAGCTTTGAAGAGGGTCATCAAACCAATAAGTGTTTTAACTTTGTTTACCTGGAATAAACATTACTTGAAATTGCCTTGTTTAATTGCAAATTTGATCATGAAAATATTTGGACTACATTTTCTTCAAGCAGGCATCTTTCTCAAAGAAATCTATGCATTGGACTTCCTAAGTACACAGAATGTGGCACAAAATGTGGACAGATTTAACAAAAGTTCTGAAAGGATGAGATGCAATGGTGCACATCATAAATTGGCATGAAATTTGACTACCTGGATATATTTGCACAAGATTTTAAATGTTTTGCTTCTGATATCAGCTTGTTGCGGCTACCATGCTTATATTTTTTTATCGCTCAATTCAATGAAGATTATCAACTTTATGGTCTCAATTTCTTTTAATAGGCCATCTTGATGCTAAAAGAATCAAGGAACCCTAGATTGGCATCCCAAACTGACGAATGACAAAAGAAATAACATGCATAAGGAGGTTTGATCAATGTGAAATGGACTGTTTATTATCCGGGATGGAGTACTATCATCTTAGTTTTCTATTTGGGAGGGGAAAGAAGCTGTCATAGGCCGAAGAATGGCATATGCTTTCTTCATTTAAGCACCATTCACTGATAGTGCAATCGGATTCCTAAGCAATTAACTCTACATGTACAAAATCTGAGAAATGGAATGCTGTGAGAAGAGAAACATCCAACCAAAATTCTAGGATTAGAAACAGAGGAGCAAAAGAACCTTACTTCCGAGACCCAATCCCGCAGCTTCCGCACCTCTTCGCGAGTATCCGAAACGAACCTCCTCTGCCGCTCCTTGAACTCCTCCATCTCCGCCCTGTTCGCAGCATAAAACCCGTCCCTCTCCTTCTCCGTCTCTTCCAGCTCCTCAATCGCGCTCTTCAAGTCCCTACTCCCCGAAACCACCTCTCCATCGAAACGTACAATTCGTACAAGAATCAATCAATAAACAAGGGGTAAAGATCAGAGCATGCCTGTACTCGCGGGCGGCGCCTTGGTACCGGGCGTCGACGGCATCGATCTGGGTCCTGTTGGTGAGGATCCGGTGGGCGATTTCCGCGTTCCTCCGCTCCAAGAGAAGGCATCGCCGCTCCGCCCGCCGCAGCTCCTCGATCTTCTCGGACAGCAGATGGGACTTGGCGATCTGGATCTCCTTCTCGGCCTGGAGCCATCACGATCAGAGCTAGGGTTAGGGTTGGTGGGAAAGGACGGAGAGGATGGAGAGTGGAGGAAAGAGGGGAACCCGAAGAAGGGCAAGCCTTTGGGTTCGGGTGGCTTCCATTTGCCGAAGCCTCTCTTGAAAGGTGGACGGGGCCGCCATTACCGCCGACCGCCAGCGAGCGAGAGACGGGGAGAGAATTCGAAGTTTGGCGGGAAGACGTGGTGATCAATCCACTCCCAAACCGACATATTATTATTATTATTATTATTATTATTATTATTATTATTATTATTATTATGAAGTATGAAAAAAATTATTTTTCGTTTAATTTTAACAATTTAATTTCTTCTATTATAATAGATAATAATTTAATTTTTTTCATCTTCATCTCCATCAATTTGGAGTCGAAATTAGAATCGAAACCACCACCACCCATAATCTTAATACCACCCACTTATATATATATATATATATATATATATATATATATATATATATATATATATATATATATATATATATATATATATATATATATATATATATATATATATATATATA